GTGTTGGCCTTCAAGGATGACTTTAATAAACCGATTAGAAAGAAATGATTTGATAGTCTCAAAAACTTTCCCAGAAACACCACATGAAGCAAGCTTATGGAGAAGACCAGCATGCCAAACTTTGTCGAAAGCTTTAGATATGTCGAGAGCAATAGCCCTAGCCTCACCGCCTCCATCTAATGCTCGATAAAATCTTTCAGTTACAGCAGTTAGTAAGTCAGCTGTAGAGCGAGAGGATCGAAAACCGTATTGATTGTCTGACAGCAGTTTATTTGACTCAAGATGAGATGTGAGGAATTTGTTGATCAAAGACTCAAAGACCTTGCTAATAACAGAAAGAAGACTGATCGGACGATAATTGGAGGGGTCAGAATTTTCTCCAGAGTTTTTGAATATTGGAACCACAGATGCCGTTTTCCAACAAGCAGGAAAACAAGACTCAGTCAAACACTTGTTAAATAGTTTAGAGAGAATTGAAGAAAGTTCTGGAGAACAATTCTGCAAGACTGTGACAGGAATGTTGTCTGGACCACAAGCTGTAGACGAGTTTAATTGAGATATGACTTTAGCAACAGAAGCCAGAGTGATTTGAATGTCTAACAATGGGTCAACCTGTTTGACTGGAATGGAAGGAAGAGAATGTCCATAAGATTTAAGAGTGGAATTAGAAGAAAAGTTCTTTGCAAATAGTTCTACCTTATCCTTGGGAGAGGTAATAAGATCAGTCCCATGAATGAGAGATGGAATGTTAGATCTACCCTTGTTAATAATGCTGTTGAAGATTTTCCTTTAGAGCCTAACTTCTGCGATAAGGTGCGAGATTTAGTGAACTGAGAATAATGGAGTTTAGCATCAGAAAGCACCTTTTTACATCGATTTCTTGCAATAATAAATAGCCGTTTGTTCTCAAAGAGTTGTACTTTTGAAAAAGATGAAAAAAATGATTACGATATAAAAAAACTTCAGCCCAAGGACCATCACGAAGAAAATCACAAAAGGAATCCCAGTCAGCTTTAGGGTAGTAGTAGGTGGTGCGACGATAAGGTGAGCCCAAAAAAGAAGTACGAGAAGAAAGATTTATAGAGATCATTGCATGGTCTGAACCACCTAAGGGAGAAAAGGGAGAAACTGCACATAAGCTAGGGTCAGAGACAAGACATAAGTCAAGGAAAGAAAGTAAATGATTAGTCACAAAATGTCACAAAGTTGATTTGAATAATCTGAGTAAGAGATTGAGAACGAGCAGAAGTATTATTATAAGTTAATATATATATATTTTCTGTTGCTAATTATAAATCAACACAAACTAACTCTAAAAACAAAACATAGATACTATTGAACTTCTTTAATAAATTTAATAAAGTTTTAAACAAAAAAAAAAACATAGATAAAAAATGTATTACCAAAAAAATTTGATATCTTTTTTATAACTTTGTAAATAAACATATTATATACAACTATATGATATCATATAATAACACAATGGATATTGACTTACTATAGCAAGTGAAAAATACAAAACATTCACGATTATTCAAACATTCAGTTTTTAGAATATTTTGTATCAAAACTACATTTTCAATTTTATATTGCACTTGAGTAGCATTATATGATTGTATATTTAATTTATTTCACAACATAATCTAAAAAAACTGTATAACATCCTGTGATAATTAATTAAAAAATATCTTAAAACCTTAAAACTCAACATTTCCCACTTTTAGACTTGCCAAATTATTTCTTAAACACATGTCTGAATATTGCTATCAAAATATATACACTTGTATATTTCAAACAATTTTAAAAATGTATTTAATAAATAAATATATATTTAAACAAAATGTGATAATTTTTTTTATTATTACAGACAAATAAAGTCGTAAAACACCTAATAATTTTTGTTATTACTTACTACTATTTATAAATAAATCACAATATAAATAAATTTAACATTATAATATCAGTTAATATCATATAAATAAATCACAATACAAATAAATTTAACATATAATATCAGTTACAGTATTTATAATATAAGTAAAATATTATTAATTATATAACTTATAGAAAATGTAAAAGATTTATGTATTTATAAAAAATATGTATAGTTTAGATAAGGCAGTGTTACTTAGTAAAACTATACCATATTTTGTAAAGTGACATTGAGATTTGCTTTGAAAAGATAATTTAAAACAAAACACACTAACTTAAAGTATTTCTTTTTCATAACTTAGTGGGCAAGCCATAACAGTAAGCACACCAAACTATATAAACTAATTTGAAAAGTTTTCAACATTTGTCTATTGCATAAAAAAAAAATATGGCTTTAGCTTGATAAAAAGTTTTACAAGTCTGTATTAAAATGTCAATGTTGATATGTTCTCAAACTTATTAATGGCTATGAAATTTATAGTATTTGAGAAGTTAAAGAAAATGCCACGTTTTTGTTTTTTTTAGTAAAATCGTTTGTTAAATTAATGTCTAAATATTGATATTAAAATATTTGTACTTTTATTATAGAATTAAAACTGATATGTAAATAATTACTTTTTACAGAAATACTAAAAATGAACCAAATTAAGCTCCTGTTAACTATAAATGTAAGTGTATATTCAATCCAAATCAAGCTGTGTTACTGTATGTCATTTTAAAAGATTTTATCATATTTTCAAGTATATTTTTTGCCGTAATTATTGTACCATATGGGACCCATCTTTTACCCAGTTCAAATCCCAGCCATAACTCAGTTCCAAAAATCCAGTTACATCCCAGCTGAGACCCAGTTGTCGTGGTTAACATTTTTATTATTAATTACTATTATTTACAAATAATTTACAATATAAATTATTTAAATATTTTTTCATATAAAACCTTGTACTACAGATTAAATTTAAGTTATAATATTTATAATATAACTCAAATTGTAAATATTATCACTTTACAAAACATAGTATAGCTATGTTTTGTAAAGTGATATTACTATTAGTAAGGTTTTACTAAGTGACACTGCTATATATAAACTTTAGATATCATTTATAAATGCATAATATAAATGTTAAATTTAACATTCTCTATAAGTTATATATTTGATAATACATTACTTATACTATGAGAAATATGTTAATTACATTACTTGTAATATATGTAAAATCTTATATTTAATAAATGTATGATTTTAATTTTTTTCATAAGTATGTAAAACTTATATATTATTTATAAATACATAAACCATTTATTAAATAATTTATTCAAAAATTAATATTATTTAAAGTTTACATATGGCAGTGTTACATAGTAAAACTTTGCTATGTTTTGTAAAAAAAATTTGTTTAAGTCACTTTACAAAACATAGAAAATTCAAAGGTTTTTCAAAAAGTCTTGAAAAAAGGTTGAAAAAAAAAAAAAATTACACACTAAGCCATTACTGTAAGCACTCTAAACCATATAAACTTGTTAAAACAATTTTCAACATTTGTCTATTGCATAATTACAAAATATGCTTTCAGTTTGATAAAACATTTTACAAGTCTAAAAAGTAAACGCTACCATTTCTCAAACTTATTAATAGCTCATAAATTTAGTCTGAATTTCAGTCTAAAATTTAATTTCTTAAATTTCTTAAATACAGGGCATTTAAGAAATTTGAGAGCATGTCATGTTTTCTACTTTTTGTCTGTAATTTTGCTTTTAAATAGATGACTAAATATTGATTTTAACATTTAACCATCTGGCACCATGAACAAATCCCAGCCCAAACTTAATCCCAGTCAATCCTAGCTGGGACCCAGTTGGGCTGGGTCCCAGCTGGGATTAGTAATAATATACAAGAATATGTTGTATGGTTCTATGTTCAAGTAAAAAAAAAACTTGAGTCATGATAAAAAATTTAGAATAAATCTCAAATAAATAATCTGTTTATTAGTTATTCAAATGCATCTTTAATAAATAACCAATAGTAATATTAAATCAGCAACATTAAATGCATCTTATTATTGAAGTTTTTGGTACTAGGATAAAATTAGCGCTAAAATCCTATGAGAAGATTTAAATGTCTCACAAAAAGCATATTGTGAGAGTATTGAAACAAATTGTATGGTCAAATTTTAAAATAGATTTGTATCAAAACACCTGAAGCTAAAAATTTCAACTTGTTTATAGCAAACCTAAACTATAGGGTTAGCTATAACAAATTATCAACAATAGCTAACCTTATTGTTGATACTTTGTAAAACTTTTTTGCTTGTTGAAAAGAATTCTTATTTAATAGAAATAAATTTTTTTTTTTTTGATATTTAAATAATTGTAAATTTTTTTAATTTTATTATTATGAGATGTATTTCATAAATATAAAATTATTTTGTTTCATATCGTCACAATCATTTCACAATTGTCTAATCATTTTTTCATATTATGAGAAATAAAATAAAAAAATGAAAAAAAAATCTCAATTTTTTCTTATACATCTAATTTTAAAAAATGAAAAAAATTCCAGATTAATTTAAGATAATATCTTAAATTAATTAGAAAATAGTTTTTGATTGTTTAGTGATGTAAGAGAAAAAATTGTGATTTTTTTTTTTTTTTAATATCTCAAAACAAAAGAATTATCGTGAAATGATTGTGATGATATTTGAAATGATATTTTTAATGCGGTAGTGGTGTAGTGGTAGAGCGCTTGCTTCATAAACAAGTGGTTTCGAGTTCGATCCCCACCACGTCCCTGGTAGTACCGCGCTCAACTCGTTTCTCCGCGCAGTGCCCTTGTTCGTCAAGGTTCGTGTTTCGGAGTTATAAAGTTGAGAGAGGGTTATAGCCACAAATAAGTAGCTCCTCGTCTGTAGTGGCCTTCTCAGCCTTGAGGAGGTGAATTAAAATAAAAAAAAAAATAAAAAAAAATTTATAATATTTTATTATTTAATATTTATAATATCTTGTATAATATTTTATATTTGATTATAAAAATATTATTATCAACTTTAAAGAATTTTATTTTAAAATAGGTGAAAACAGTGACAGTGGAGTTAGGCGTTTGAAAGATTCTGAAAGGCAATGTTTTCAAAGATCAAGCTGTGATGTATTTATAATGACTACACAGAGTTCATTTGGTGACATTGATTTTATACGGCTGTGGCATGATAATAGTGGTGGAGGTTGGTACTTAAAGTAAGCATTCTTAATTGTTTTTAATAATTGCTATATATATAATTATATATAATTTTATTTGTATATATATATATATATATATATATATATATATATATATATATATACATACATATATATACACATATATACATATACACACACGTATATATATATATATATATATATATATATATATATATATATATATATATATATACATGTGTGTATATGTATATATATAAATGCATATATATATATATATATATATATATATATATATATATATATATATATATATATTTGATATTACTCACATTAGTAACATTATTATAACTGATCTTCAAACTGACAAGCAGTTTCTTTTTATTGGTCATCGTTGGATTGCTGTTGATCGTGGCTTATGTACTTTAGATTGTGTTATACCAACAGCATCAGCTGAAGAGACTTCAGATTTTAAATATATTTTCACAACTAAAACAAGTCATGATCTTTCAGACAAACATTTATGGTTTTCAATATTTGCTCGTCCACCTAAAAGTAATTTTACCAGATGCCAAAGGTTGTCTGTTGCGGTATCTTTGTTAATGACTTCTATGATGGCAAGTACATTATTTTATGGGCGAATTCCACCAGCAGATCCATCAGTTGAAAACAAGATTGGTAGCTTTTCATTCACATGGACCCAGGTTTGTAGTAAACTTTCAGAATAATGTTGTAACTTTATTTGATGAAATTAATAAAATAATGTTATGAAATTTTAAATAAGTGATAATCTTAACAAAATAAACAAAATAAGTGATAAAATTAATAAAAGTGATGAAATTAACAAAATAATGTTAATGTGTTTAAAATATATGTTAAAAGTTAAAATAGATAATCAAAATATAGTTTTTGAAGAACTAGTTTTAGAAAGAATGGAAGCAGCATTTCTTTTGCAATTTTTAGTTTTACTAAAATTTTAGTGCTACTGAAATTTTTTATTTTGTTTTTATTTTACTAATTAAAATAAATTTTTATCTATTAAAATAGATTTTTATTATTTAAAATAAATTATTACTAATTAATATAAGCTTTTATTAATTAAAATAAATTTTCATTATTTAAATTAAATTATAACTATTTAAAATAAATAAAAACAAAATGCTTGAAACTTGGATGAATTCAAATTATTTTAGACTTAGTTATTCATCTCAAAATGCTTTTTTTTTTTTTTTATTTGACGAATAATGGCAAGTTTTAAAAATTTTTTTAATATGATTTTAATAAAAATTAACAAATAATTTCTATTTTTTTTGAAATTATTTCATAATTATTTCATTTTTTCACTGTAAAAAATATAACGCTAACATAATGGTTACATACCGGTTAGTGAAAAATTTAGCTTTATGTTTACCGTTATGTTAGTAAAAAGTGTCTAATGTCTAAATAGTCTGGGAGGCAGCCACAGTTTTTTTCAACCCATTTTTATCAGAAAATTTGACAACTTAGATGTAATAATAAAATTGCACTCTCTAAGAAAAAGTTTGTTAGCTGGTCCATATTGGGGTCGTTTGGTGTGCAGGACACCACAAACTTTGTCCATTAGGGTGGGCCCTAATTTACCCCAAAATTATCAATGCCACCATTTTCAAAAATTAAAATAGAATTTCAAGTGATTAGGAAAATTAAAAATCTAATATCAAAAGTTGGGGCAGACGCCCCTCAAAACTATAAATTGGGCCATTAATTTACACCAAAATTATCAGAGACCAAGTTTTAACAAAGAATTCTTAAGTTATAATGGTGCTCAATGAGCCCAAATCTGACATGTATTTCTGGGTCACAATAGAGGTCAGACCGCATTAACATTAATGAAGTTTAAAACATGGGATCAAGAAACATTAACTTATTAAAATTGTTTAAATCTAACATGGACAGCGCTGCAAAAGAAAACGTGACATTTAATGAAAAAAGGTAGTTTAATTAAATAAAATTTAATAAGAATATTTCAGTGTAGTTAAGGCGCTTTTAAAATATTATAGCGTCTGTAAGATTTTTTGTTGATTACAACATATTTCCATTAAATAATCAGGTCTATGAATTATGAAAAGACAAAAAATATTAAAATGATAAATTTTGCGGTATCTTAAAATATAAATGTTTGTAGCAAAAAAACCCAGACCAAAGATTTTTTTTTTTTTTAATTATCTTAAAATCACAATCGCTTGTACAAATTTGAATAAGATTTTAAATTATTAAGTTTTTTAGGTGAAATAAACATTGTAGTTTAACAATATGATCTGTTCTGATCATTTATTGGCAATTTTCTATAATTATAAGCTCTTTCTTGGTCAGAATTCTAGTTTTCAAATTTTTCTACAATATTTCTATCAATTTTCACAAAAAAATTCAATTTTTTTGTGAAAATTGATAGAAATATTGTGTTTTGACAACTAGTATAGTTAATATACATCAGAATTGATTAGAACTAGGATCAGTTGTAAATTAAGGAACTTTTTTAAAAGATTGTAACTAAATTCATGTTAATGTAGATGAGTGGAATTGATTTAAAGACTCCAAAGTAGTGTTCTTTAGGTGTAGTAAAAAGGTTTTGAAAATTATATTAAAAAAAGAAAAGTTTCTTTAAATATTAAAAGAAATTTTGAGTAAAAAAAAATTATAACATCTAAAGCTTTTGTTTGGACATAATACTTTGATAAAATCATGCTAATTCCAAATAGTATTCAAATATTCAAAGTAGTAAAATAGTATTCAAATATAAAAAGTATTCAAATAAGTTGTAAATTGCCTTAACTACACTGAGAGTCAACTAAGAAATGCAAGACAAAGTTTCTGTTCAAAATTTTTTTTTTTTTGAAAGTTTGTTTAAAATTATTGAGATATAGAACTCTTTCATGGATGTTTACTAATAAAATAGTAAACATCCATGTTTTAAGAAAATAATCTTTATTTCAATGTAAATAAAACACAGCAGAAGCAGCCCTTAATTAAAAATTGCATTGCCAACCTGAAAATAAAATATATATTAGTTAACTTAAAAGAATATAAAATAATAATGCTATATGCAGGGCTGGAATTAATGCAAAAAAATCTAATCGCGAAAAAAAAAACAAAAAAAAATTTTTATGCGTCCATCCCCCTCCCTCTCATAGTTCGAACCACCTATGCGGTAATGGGGGGGGGGGGGAATGCATTAGTATAAATTTTATCTTTTGGACATATTTTTCATTTTTTAACATATTATCTTTCATATTTAAATATTATCTTATATATTTCTCGTTTGGCAGAGTTTAAAATAACGTAAGTTACTGTTATAATTTACAGCTTAATTTATGATTAAAAATTTAAGTTGCACTTACAGTGTAATGAGCAACGTATTTAATACTATTAAAATATTACTTTTAGTAACATGCTAAAGTTGCTGGTTTCTATTGATTAACTATTAGGAAAAAAAATTTAAAAAAACGAATTAATATATATTTTAACATACTTAAAGCAGTAAAATTAATAATATAAAATGTTGATAAAATAATAATTTAAAAAATTAATAATAAGTTAATTTGGTTTTGAAAAAAACCAGTTTGTTTTGTAAAAAAAAAAGAAGAAAAAATTTGCTTTAGTAATATAAAGAAAAAATTGTCTTTAAAAAAGATTAAAGAAAAAATTTAAAAAATTAAAGAAAAAATTTGCTTTAACAAAAAAATTCGCTTTAACGTCTTTTCCCTTTTCAACTTTTTTTTTAACAACTTTTTAAATATAAAATTTTTAAATAGAAAATTTTTTAAATATTGGGATGGAAATATTTATAAAAATTTTATAAATATTTCCACGCAGAGATTAAAAGTAATTCAAAAGTGTTTTATGTTGAATGAAAATCTCCGGATGAAAGAGCAAATGATCATCTATTCAAAAGAAAAATTTAGTGTGACAAAAACATTACTTTTAAGAATTGCCAAAAAAAAATAGTAACTAAAAAAAAGTAAATAAACAACCAAAAAAAAAAAAAGTCACGAAAATATTTTTTTGTGAAAATCGAGATTCGCGATTGCAATACGCTTAATTTGAGCCATGATATGCTTATCTAATATTTATGTCCTAATACATTTTAATAGTTATTTACAAATATTTATTTTTATTTTTAAATTTTTGAATAACGTTATGTACCAATTATCAGATATCAGGCTATTCTTCTTCATCACTAGAAAAATATGATTCTGAGTCTTCTTCATCCTCATAACTTTCATCAAAAACATCTATTTCTATTAAATAAAAAATAATCAATTGGTTCTTTTTAAAGTAAATTTGGCAATAAATTTGACATCAAATCATCAGGATCAGATGAGGTTTACTTATTAGTGTGTTTCTTTTTATTACTATTAATAAAGTCAACTGAAATAAAATTTGAACGAAAGATCAAATAAAATATACCTTTTTCATTGTTATATTATAATACGAACCTTCTTCATTGTTATAGTTTTCTAAATTGTCATCAACATCAACTCAATTAGATTGCATTTTACCTTTAAACCATTTTATTTGGTATTTTCCATTTTTAAGAATCCATCCTGAATTTTCTGGTAAGTGAAGAGGAAAAGAGGCTTTTGTAGAACTCATCCATATTCCTGTTACATAATTAGTTCTCTTGATTTTTTCAAGTAATATGGAAGAACAAGGTGCTAAATAACTCCAATCCATTTTCTTGATACATAAAATTTTGGAGTCAATACCTTTCGGTTTATATTTCTTTAAAAATAGCTCTAAACATACTTCATCAGAAGTAATTTGCTTTTTTCTATAAATGCTACAGATATTTCTTGATTACCTGAAAATCTGCACCAGGAACATACTCATTAGTACCCATTCTTCTAAATATTGAAATTTCATTACCCTTTCTTCTAAATCTGTCTAAAAATGAACTTTGATACCATACCATAAGAGGAGGGTAAATCAATAAGTAATTAAAGAAAGAACATAGTGTTGATTATCAATTTGTTTATATTAGAAGGATTAACGGTTTTGATGCATGATTTGAGCTTGTAAAGTAATTTAACTTTTAAAGTTTTCATCATTATTCCATCAGCATGACAAAATGAGAGATGTTAAAATATCCTCTAACACCTGCTGTGTTAGAGGATATTTTAACACTTCTGTCATATCAATTTTTCTTTCAAGCTTGAGAAATAAAATAGTGCCAAACAGATCTCATCATGCTTACCTTAGCTAACTTGTTATCTTTTCTATAGAAATTACTCTACATTTATGTTATCTTTTTTTTAGAAATTATATTTTCTTTAAAAAAAAAGGATTCATTGTGTATTGAATCATTGTGTCACAAGATTTAAATCGACTTGATTTTAAGTCTTGTGACACGTCTTCCTTTTTTTATCATCTCTAAATCTTCAAATAAATGATGCTTGTGCAAATAAGTCGACTTTGTGCCCATCTTTGCTATGTAGATATCAAATTTGTTAGTGCAGAAATTCTTCTTCTTTGGCAAGCTGAATCTGCATTTATTGTTTTTTCTAAGGTGAGGTTGATTCGAAGTCTTGAAAAAGTTTTCATTTTTCTCTTCGGAGAGATTAGACTTTTTTAAAACTCTTCATATACTTCTGAATGTGTATCTTGAGAAAATTACTATGGTACCATACTAACCAATGGGCATAATTAGGTTGATTGAATGCGAAAAAATTAATTTGCTAATAATATAAAACAATAAATATACAATTTGTAAATCCTCAGTGCAAATACTTCTAATGAAATAATGGTAAAGATTAATTATCTTTATATAACGTAACCAGTATTGTGTTGTTAAAACATGTTTACCAGTTTCTTCTAACCAGTATTGTGTTGTTAAACCATGTTAATCAGCTACTTCTATCCAGCATTATGTTGTTAAACCATATTTACCAACTTCATCTAACTAGTATTGTATTGTTAAACCATGTTTACCTGCTTCTGTATCAAATGCATAGATCTGACAATTGTTAAAAAACTCATCTTCAAATGCTCTTCTTCTTTTCTTCTAAAACTTGGTTTGCATTATGGTTTCTATTAATGTCTTTGTATTGGATGGATTTTTTTTACTTTCATTTTTTCAATAAGTTAATACAAAGTATCTACTGTATCATGCAGAGTGTCTTTTCCATTATACGTTTTGACAAACCTGTCAAAATTATTAAATGCAACACCCGTACAGTGATTTTTTTTCACTTTGCATTAATAAATCATTTTTGCTTGTTTCAAATGTTAACTCATTTTTAAGTTCTTCAACAGTAAGAACTTATGCTGTGCCCTAATCTGTTTCATAATTCAATGACTTTTCTCCTACCCGTAAGACTTTTTACAGCAATATCTACTTGTAAATTTTTAGACAATTTTTTCTTGCCTGGTGTGACAGCAAATATAACAACTTGGCTAATAGATTTTATTCGCTGCATCTTCCTGCCAAATTTCTGTTTCTTAAATCTGGACCCTTAATCAGGTTTTCAAAAAATTGTTATAAGAGATCAGAAATTTCTACTTCTTCTTTCATGATATCGGCTATAGTTAGATGTTCCGGCAATGATTTTTTCTGCTTCCAGTGTAGAGCGTCTAATGGCAAATGCAGCCTTTCTTTTAATATTTATGCTTGCTTTCATAAAGTGTTCTTCCCAAAGCCTCATCGATTCTAATTGAGCTATTAAAGATAACTTTCCCATGCTTTGTCTTTCCCTTTTGAATTGTTATTTTCAAACCGTAATACTTTAGTTTTTCTACAAGTTTTTTCAAGGTTTACTCAGCACAATTAAATTGCTTTCCACCTATTTCTAGCAATAGCATTTGCTACCTGTTATTGATGTCATTGATAAAGTGTACCTCTTTCTTCTCTAATATGACTTGTAACAGCATATATTTTTAAATGAATTAGAATGAACTTCTCTTGTTAAATGCCACAATGTCTTAGGTTGTACAATTTTGTTCCTTTTTATCATACTTTGTTTCCTTTTTTTCTTTTATTGCAGTTGGTATATGTTCAGCCATATTTTTATAATTTTCTCGGCAAACAGCATGGTACACAACTTCCTTTGCTACAAAATTTGTGTTTTGTAACCTTATTACCATGACTTTAGTGAAATAATACCCTAATGCGTGGTGCAAGTACTGTTGCTAGGTTTTATATTGATTTGATTTTCTTTAGATTGAAATTTATATCTTTGTGATTTTGAAAAGATAACATATCTTCAATTGCACTCTGTATGGAAACCAGTTTTCAAAATTTTTTGTTTTTTGCAATTTTCAAATTTTTTTTTGTGGCTTGTCTTAAGTACTCAGAATCATCTTACTACACTTTTTCTTTAATATTACTTTTATTATGTTAAGGGACAACATTTCATGCAGCCAGGTGTATTTTTTTAATTTTTTTAATTTTGGCCAATCCTAATGTACATGTAAATTTGGCCAATCCTAATGTATATATATATATATATATATATATATATATATATATATATATATATATATATATATATATATATATATATATATATATATATATATATATATATATATATATATATATATATATATATATATATATATATAATTTAAATAAGAATATATATATATATATTTATTTAAATTTAAAACTAATTACTTGCTATATTAGATTTTTAAACATAATGCAAGATTTTGTATTTTATAACAGGTTATTACCGTTATATTCAATGTATACTTTGTATAAAATAAACATAACATCAAATACCGTTATGTTATTTTCATACAAATTTTTTCTTAAACATAACAGGAATTACTTATAATGTCTAGAATTATGTTTTTGAAAAATAAAACAGGTATTTTTTTTTACAGTGTAACATGCTTAGTATTATAAAAATATAAGAATTGTTTTTATTTGAATTAAATTGGAAGTCAGGAATGTTGAAAAATAAGTAAATTTAATTCTACAGTTTCATTATTTTTAAAACTTACTTGTTACTTTTTTGTTCATTTTGAAAAAAAGGTTAGTTATTTTGATGTTGCGGAATCTTTTAGATATTGCAGAGTCTTTTTTATCTTTGTGTAAATATTCTTCAACAACTGTGTTAATTGTGTGTGTTAGCTTCATTTGTTTACTGTTGTTTTAACAATTCTAAAACTATAACTGTTGACAGCTTTGATTATAACACATTTAGATGTCTTTAATAATAACAGATGTATTTTGACTGTTTTTTTTGTTCATAAATGGTTTATAATATATTGAAGTGGTTTTGTTGCAAATGTTCAGTAGTATATATTAAAGAGAATGGTGATATTGAAATAATTAACTATGAAACTTGTAACATAAATATTTGGTTTTTAAGTTTCATCTGCACTAATAAACTCTATATATCAACTCCAAATAATTAAGTATATAACTTTATGTAATTTATATCTTACTAGCTGGTATGACCCATACGATACGGGTCATAGCAAGTCTAATCCGCACCCGACAATTTCTAAACTTGTTCCTTAGTCTTTATAGTTTAATTTATTTTAGTAAACGGCAAAAAATAAATCAATTTAAAGTTATGGTAGATGGTAAAATGCGAACTTTAATTGCAAACCATAAATTTTAATTTATGGTTTGCAATTAAAGTTTGCATTTTACCATCTACCAGATGGTAAAATGCAAATACTTAAGAAAATTAAATCGAACTTTAATTGCTTGTTAAATTATAATTAATTTTTTTTAGAGCGGTAGAGCAACATAATTATGAAACAGATATGCGGTAGTGGTGTAGTGGTAGAGCGCTCGCTTCATAAACGAGTGGTTCCGAGTTCGATCCCCACCATGTCCCTGGTAGTACCGCGCTTAACTCTTTTCTCTGCGCAGCGGCCTTGTTTGTCAAGGTTCGTGTTTCGAAGTTATAGAGTTGAGAGAGGGTTATAGCCACAAATAAGTAGCCTTAAAAAAACTCTTAAATTATTTATATAATTATAAAAAATTTATATAATTGATAAAATGTATTAACAAATAAACTGTTTTTAACTGCAGAATTAGCTGTAATGACCCGTATGATACAGATTGCGGCAACCCTATACCACATCCGGCTATTTCCAAACATGTTCTTAATTAGGTATATATACGTTAAGTTAACAGCAAAAAACTAGTCGATTTAAAGTTTTTGGTTAACGATTGACTTAATATACTTTAGAAACTGTACTTAATGCACTCCAATATTTTATACATAAAAGAATCTTTAACATTAGAGACAGTTGCGTAACATTTCTTATAAGTACATTCTTTCAATAAATTTTTTAAACACTTTTTATGACTACACTAACTACAGATTTGATTTATGTATTTCATCATAACATTACACCACTAAACTGGCATGGACAACAATCTTGCTCCCAACAAAGCCAAGTCACATTATAGCAAAGTACACCACTTGGCTAACAAAATCAACACTCTTGCTGTAAACTAAGCAAAGTCACAACAGTTTGAAAAGATATTTACAAACACATAAATGATATTTACATACTTACAAAACATAAACCTATATAACCTTAACACATAAACATAAATAACATAAATATAAATAAATAGTATAATAAAAATATATAAATCAAGAAAAATTTATAATTTAGAAACTTTACAAACCTTATTTTTGTAATATTTGTTTAATGACATACGTCGTATAATAAATGTTTAACAACTTATAATAAATGTTTCAAAAACAAACGATCTCGTTTTTTATTTGAAGCAAACAGATTTTTTTTAAACTTCTTTAAAGGTGAGGTATTTAACGTTGTTCTTTTTTGTTCTTTAACATGTAACTGTGTGAGATGCAAGAGTTTAGAAGATATATATATATATAGCACTAACTTTATCAAGAGTTTGACCTCTTGAATAGAGCATCGTCTTTTAGAGTCATCATCGTCTTTTGACTTTAAAATTAAAATATGTCTATCTTATTACTAATTAAGTTGATGAAGCAAAATTTTCTATCTTATTACTGATTAAGCAGATATTAACAGATTATTAAGATTCAAGAGTACCTCATCGCGTGGTCAAAAATTTATAAAGAAAAATATCTAAAAGGCCAAGCATGCTCATAAAATTCTGTGTAAAAACGGGCACGAATGGTGAGCAGCAGCGTTAAGTTAAGTATTAATTATAAGCAATTACTTTATGTAAATTTGTTTGTTTATTTTTGCTTTTTTTCAAAGAAAAGATAAAGTCTAAGTTACTAGATGAAGTTTAGTAAAAAAAGGGTTCTTTTTTATAATTTATTTTTGTTTTTATTATTATTTCTTTTAATTTTTTTTAATATTATTTACCTCCCCAAGGCTGATTCACCTCAGAAGAGATTGAGGACACTCCTTTTTTTTATTTTATTTTACAAAATTATCAAAAAAGTTGTTCTTGAGATATACCTCCAGTAATCATCTTTGTGACTGGGCTGTATATCTTTGTGACTGGGCTGTATATCTTTGTGACTGGGCTGTATATCTTTGTGACTGGGCTGTATATCTTTGTGACTGGGCTGTATATCTTTGTAACTGGGCTGTATATTATAAAACTTTATTATAGTATAAGATTCTGATTTTTTTTTTAAAGATTTTTATTTTTATTTTTAGAGGTTTTAAAATTTTAAAATTTGTACAGCAGTATCTTTTTTAAAACTTGTCAAGCTTTTTTGTTTTTTAGGTTTATGTAGCTTTAATTAGTACATGTATCACCATACCTGTAAATATTGTTCTTGTTCAATTGTTTCGAACTATAAAACCATTTGAAAATATAATAAAAGAAAATTCAAATGAAGTCCAACATTGGAATGAAGCTGATGAATTGCAAGAAAAAAATTCTTGTTCTTCGGAGTTTATTAACAGCAGTAAGTACTGAGGTTTTTTAACATTTGCAGAAAACAAGTTTGTTTAAATGGTTTTTTGGGGTATAATTTAATCTAAATGAAATCTTTTTTTGCAGACAATGAGAAAACAACAACAATTCTCATTGAAAAAGACAAACCATCTCTATTAAAAGAAGAGAAAAAAAAGTATCTACCTCCATGGTGTTTGTACATAGCATGGTTTATCTGTGTTAGCAGCATTTTTGGTTGTGGTTTCATTATTTTGTTAAATGGAATGGCTTTTGGAAATAGAAAATCTTTAAATTGGCTATCTAGTGTATCTATTGGATTTGTATGCTTTATTATTATTATTTTTTCCATATAATACTATGTTATTTAATGCGGTAGTGGTGTAGTGGTAGAGCGCTCGCTTCATAAACAAGTGGTTCCGAGTTCGATCCCCACCACGTCCCTTGTAGTACCGCGCTCAACTCGTTTCTCCGCGCAGCGGCCTTGTTCGTCAAAGTTCGTGTTTCGGAGTTATAGAGTTGAGAGAGGGTTATAGCCACAAATAAGTAGCCTCCTCGTCTGTAGTGGCCTTCTCGGCCTTGAGGAGGTGAATCAAAATAAAATAAAAAAAAATTGTGTACACACAATTTTATCATGTACATTTTTTATATGATTGTTTTGTTTTTTATATAGTTGGCTATGGGTTTATACAGTTGTTATGTTTTATATAAGTGTTATGCATATTAAATTTGTACACATTTTGCACATATGAAATATAAAGAACAAAAATGAAATATTTGAAAAGAACACATGAGGTATATAAGGCTGTGGTAATAGATTTTACAAATAAAAGTTTAAGCTCTTAAAAAGTTGTGTAAGGTTTTAAGGTTTTTAAAAAGTTATAAAATAAAAAAATTTTGGAATTTATCTAACATATAGTTAAATTATCAAAACTTATTTTTATTAAGTTGTTATTAAAATGCAATAAAATGTATGTAAAAAAACCAAAAGTATATTTTGATGCTTAAAAAATCTTATACACATAAAGGAATTCGTCAGTGATAAATCAGTTCATTGATGACATCAGTGATGTCTAATGTTAAACCTAAAATTTAAGTATATTGTATTTCAATATTTATAATAAGCAATAAAAACTTTGTTTGTCATAAGGAAAGGATGAAACAGTAAATGAAATCATTTATTCCAAGGTGTTATATAAAAATTATTTACTTATGTCTTGACATGGAGAGATTACTACTTTGTACTTATATTTGTTGATCATACTGGTGATTTTTGTTTAATTCACTATTCTATGGAACTTTAAATAAAGTGAATTACCATATATCCCTTAGAGTCTATATATAGAAAAATTTTAGACCAATTTATTATTTTTTTAATTTTCAAATTTATTGAAGGAATTTAATTTAAGATTATGTTATGAGCCTTCAATAGAAACAAATAAATGCCATTCTTTTAAAAAGAAAGGTATTTTTTCTAGAGCATCTTTTTTGTAGAAAAATTTTGAAATGTTTTTAAGTTTAGTTTAATATCAAAACACCCTCTTTTTTCAGCATCCTTTTTTTCCAACCTTTTTTTGCAACACCTTTATTCCTTTTAAAAAAGTAAATAAATAAATAAGTTGTGTCATAATCATAATGCTGTATTAGTTTATTGTGCAAATACTTTTGTAAACATTTTAATATATTGTTTATATGATATATATGATATATATGTATATGTATATATATATATGTATATATATATATATATATATATATATATATATATATATATATATATATATATATATATATATATATATATATATATATGTATATATATATGTATATATATATATATATATATATATATATATATATATATATATATATATATATATATATATATATATATAAATATATATATATATATATATATATATAAATATATATATATATATATATATATATATATATATATATATAAATATATATATAAATATATATATATATATATATATATATATATATATATATATATATATATATATATATATATATATATATATATATATATATATATATATATAGTTATATAGTTATATATATATATATATATATATATATATATATATATATATATATATATATATATATATATATATATATATATATAGAGAGAGAGAGAGAGAGAGAGAGAGAGAGAGAGAGAGAGAGAGAGAGTTTATTGCAGAAATAATTTTAACCTTTTTTTAACTAAAAATGAAGTGTAATTTTTAAAAAATTAAAAAAAAAATCATTATTTTTTTTAAATGATTGTTATTTTTGAAATTGTTAAATTATTTTGATTCTTTTGAGACCCAACATGACATACTTTTGAAAAAAAAAATTTTTGTTAATATTAAGTACCCGGTACGTGTTCAAGGGTCTTGTGCTTTTCCTAAATCCAATAAAATTCTGAAAAATTTAACCAAGTTGCTTGTGACAACTAATAGAATGTTTTAAGAATATGAACAGTTCTTTTTTAGAAAATAGGGGGTAGTTAGTACACCCTAATATATATAGTGTAAATATCTTCTTAAAAAATCATGCTATACTCTGATTTACATTTGAAACACATAATGAACATTATGTTAATGTAGCATTATTATGATTATTGTAATTTACTTATATAACACTTTATAGATTATTATAATTTACTTGTAATTAATACAATACTCTTATAATAAACATTTCATGAGAAACAGCAGATAACACTTCTTAGCTTCATAGCTTCATAGCACTTCAACAGCACTTTATAGCTTTATGATGAAATACCACTTTTATTATTCGAATTAATAAAAAAGATATACCTTTATATAATTTAATATGTTACCATTTAGTGGTTGCTATGGTACTATAATTTATTTTTTAAATTATTAATATTAATTTTTTTTTTTTTAAAGTTTCAAAAAATTTTTTTTTTTAGGTGAAAGACATATTCTTTATTCAACCAATAAAAATTTTCTTTTTGTCAATTTTTGTGGCTCTTATAGTAAAAAAAATTGAAGAAGAATCATGTGAAGTGGAAATACAAGGTATTTACTTACAAGAAATAATAAATTGGAAATTGTATTTAGCAATAATTGTATGATAATGTGTGTATATACACACATTATTATTATACAGTTGTATGCTAATTGTGTGTATATACAACACATCGTTATCATACAATTATTGCTAAATTAAATCTATTTAAAATTATTACAATTTCGATTTATTGAGGGATTAAGAAATCTTTCAAATTAAAAAAAAAAAAAATTAAATTTTAATAAGAATGTTAAAATTTAATTTTCAAAAATTGTGAAACTTTTTTATGCTTTTTTGGTGTTTTTCATTGGCTATATGACAAGCAAAGGTTTTGATTTTTATCAAACTTGTAATGTTGAAGAACTTATTTTCTCTAAATTATAGTATAATTTTTTTCCATTTTGATGTAAATATTCCATTGCGTGTTTTATAACACGCCTATTCACCGTGCGGATGACATCATAAACTGGAGGCGAGTTTTTTGAACAGAAAAAACACTAATAACATGAATTAAACTTGAAATTTAATTTTTAATCAAAAAAATACTAAATGGATTTTTTTACAAATATATCTATAAATAAATTTATGAATAAATTTTTACAAATTATCATTTATTTTACTAACCATAAAAACCAAGTAAAACCAAGTTGAATACCTTCCCCATCATTCTTCATCATATTATTTTTATTTAAATTTTTTAAAACAGAAACAGTGTTTTATGTTGGATTTATTTTTGAAACTCAGTGTTAAATAACAATGTTATTTAACACTTAGTTTCAAAATTTTTTGTTTTGGTTCTTTTTCTGATCTTTGTGAATACAAACTACAATAGTTTTTAAAGAATATGTTCAAAAGTATAACACCATGTTTTCTATTCATATTCAGTTGATATGATTCTGAAATAAGCATCATTAGATTGCATAAAGAAGAAATGCATGAGTTATCAGCCACTTCATGAAACATAATTTAACAATATATAACCCATTGACATACAAAATCACCAGGTACATTAATCCTCCACGATTGATTTAGTCAGTAAAATATCTGAATTTCTCATAATAAAAGTATGAGTCATCTGAATCTTCATCATTTTGGACAACATACCCAGCTATATAAATCAGACTCATTTAACATCTATAGATAACATATTTTCTAATTCTGGTAAGTTATCAAATATCAAACATTTCTCTTCGTTCATGTAAAAACCATATCTTTCACAAGAATGCCCTGATGTAGTAAAATCAAGACTATCACCATTATTGTCTAATCGCAAAAGTAGTTTTGTCTTTATAATACCAACTTTCTCTAATATTTGTTGTACAGTAATAAAATATGTACCACCTGATCCTTGCCTGAGTTTCCCAAACTGTTTTTCTAAAGGATCAGTGGTAAATGTTCCAAGCAAAACATATTTATGATTTGTAGACAAGAGAAACTTTGACAACTCAACAAGACCATTGCATCCATGATGGAGACTTTTAGAAGTATTTTTTGTGAAGCTTTTACAACGAACCTTTTGAGAAGAACACATTTGCTTAGCTAAGTAACATGCGGTAGTGGTGTAGTGGTAGAGCGCTTGCTTCATAAACGAGTAGTTCCGAGTTCGATCCCCACCACGTCCCTGGTAGTACCGCACCCAACTCGTTTCTCCGCGCAGCGGCCTTGCTCGTCAAGGTTCGTGTTTCGGAGTTATAGAGTTGAGAGAGGGTTATAACCACAAATAAGTAGCCTCCTCGTCTGTAGTGGCCTTCTCGGCCTTGAGGAGGTGAATTAAAATTAAAAAAAAAAAAAAAAAGTTTCCAAATTCTAACAGCTTTTAAAGATTAAAATCACCAGAAGAAAAAATTGCAGCTCGGTTTAGATCACGCATACGTATATCTGCATGAGGGCTATGAACATTAACAATTCTCCAAAATTCAATTATTATTGAAAGAAATGAAATAGTGTCATCAACATTTTTCAAGTCTGGATGACATTTTAAGGCACAGACAGTTTCTTCACAAAATACTTTTAGACAAGTAGAAACTTTTTGTCTTTCAATTGGTTTGGGGAATACAGCAACAGTAAGTTTAGGCATTTTAATCATTTGATTTGATTCTAATTTATGCAATGCTACAATGTGAGACCATTTGGCAACTTTTTTTTTCCTTATTAACATAAAACTCAAGTAACTTTAATAACTTTTCAGTTATCCAATTATTACGAATATTTTTAAAAGGTGCACAAAATCATATAAAAGATAAATGTTATCTTTTGTACGCCAAGGTATGCCGTCTGTCTCAAATTTCTTAAAAAAGGCCTGGTTTACCCTGTTACCGTCACAAACTATACATACAACATTACCACCTGCTGATTTTATGGCAGATAGATAGTGTTAACTGCTTTTTAAAACATTGTTCCCCCATGGTACTGCAACATAGTTTTAACATAAACTTCGTCTAATAATACAATTTTTATGTCTGATGTCAGATAAGTTTGAAAACACTTTTTGTAGAAATATATCTTCATAAACAGATTTTAATTTTGATGTTAGTCTTGTTAATGTTGTAATGCTAGGAAGTTGTAAATCTTCTCTGAGACGATTATATGTAGCACGTGACATTGAAAAACATTCAAATGCTCTAATCATTGTTTCAACAGAATATTTATTATCTGTGACAAGTTTATCATCCATTGCTGCTCAATAATATTTTTTTTACTGCTTATCTCGTAAGTATTTAAAAATCGAACTGCTTCTACAATATGGGACCATCTATTTAATATGGTAATTCTGTTATGCCATAGTGTTTTTATTACACATTTGGCTCCACAGTGAAATGCTTTGTACTGAAAATTATTATTTATTTTCAAAACAAATAATGGCACACCGGTGTTATGAAAGAACTCTAATGATTGAATTAATGCTTGATTGACTGTTTTAGTGTTAAATAATATATCAAATCCATTAAAGTTGTAGCTTTCTATGTTCATTTTCAGATCATAAAATGATTTTATAACATCTTTTAAATTGAAAGCTGACAACTCGTCAGGTTGAACATTTCTAGATTCTGCATGTGATCTTAAAGTAGTTCTGAGACAACCAGGTGGTGAAGGTATTAAACTTGATTTTACACACGTAAATACAGATGGAGGATTACGAGGTCTTTCTTTCCCATAGCCTTTTGTTAAAATGTATCCAACAGGCCAGTGCCTTTCAAAAACTACATTGTCTATTTTATCTGGTATATTGTCTCTTGGTATAACTGCCAACCACCTTTTTCTTTCTTCTGGTATTTGAGGAAGACGAAAAGTTTTTTCTTTGGAACTTTGATCATAATTTCCATTACAATTTGTGACACAGCATTTACGACCCATGTTTATTAAAAATTTAAATTTTTAATTAAATAAATAAATAATAAGAGCTTCAACACTTAACAGAAAATATGGTTTAAAAAATGTTCGCCTCCAGTTTTTGACGTCATCCGCACGGTGAATAGGCCTGGTATAAAGTACGCCATGAAATATGCATATTCTTCTAAGGTAAGATGTTAGCTCATGATGAAAGTTGGCTCCATAAACCAAAAAATAAAGCAACAATTTTTGATCGAGTTGATATTGAGTTTAAACCACCTGATTGTACTACAATATTAAAGATGCGAGAGATGGGATTTAAGAACATGAAGATGTACTCAATAATTCAAGAAATTGTTTTGTACTTTTTTTATGCAATATTGGTGTTTTTCATTGGCTATATGACACGTGAGGATTTTGCTTTTTATCAAACTCGCAATGTTGAAGAACTTTTTAATTTACGATTGAGGCATGGAGTATCATATCCTGATGGTACAGTTTTTAACCAGGTTTTCTTTACTGTTTTTTTGTTCACTTATTTTATCTAATTACCTACAGAGCTGTTTCTTATAGTTCTTTTGGAATTACTTATATTAAATTTTTGGTAGTGAGCACTAATTAAAGTTAGTTACAACCACTGCCTAGATACTTTATGACTAATGCTTAGCTACTTTATGACTACTACCTAGCTACTTTATGACTACTGCTTAGCTAGTTTATGATAGAACTATATATTTATGCTAAAACTGGATTTTTACAAATTTTGAAATTGAAAATGCTATTTCTATTGTCATATTTCTACTAGCTATTTAACAGTCCTCTGCTTTTTCGGAATTAAGGTTGCTATAAGTCCAAAATATCTTTAATGGTCTCTAAATAATACATATTTTGATAAAAACTCATTAATATAATAAAGCAATTTAAAAAATAGTTCATCATTCTCTCTTTGTGTGATAATTTACAAAGTGTGAAGCTGCCCCCTTGACATTCATAGTTTGAATCTTTCCTTACCTAGTGTTTATTAGATGCTATTAGCCTTCTCTGAGCATTATAAATATGGTTAGAATAAAATATATTTATAAATATTATAATATTTGAGCCATCTTTTTTTTTCATTCTCAAGATTCCTTATTTTGAATGTGCTTTCTCCACTGTGACAGAGCTTACAGAGACTTTTTTAATAACCAAAATAAAAATTGTTTTCTGCTAATAATTTTTGACCAAAACAAAACTCAATTGTTTTCTGTTGCTTAATAGTTATTGTTTTCTGTTGCTTAATAGTTATTGTTTTTTGTTGCTTAATAGTTAATGTTTTCTGTTGCTTAATAATTATTGTTTTCTGTTGCTTAATAATTATTATTTTCTGTTGCTTAATAGTTATTGTTTTCTGTTGCTTAATAATTATTGTTTTCTGTTGCTTAATAATTATTGTTTTCTGTTGCTTAATAGTTATTGTTTTCTGTTGCTTAATAATTATTGTTTTCTGCTGCTTAATAGTTATTGTTTTCTGTTGCTTAATAGTTATTGTTTACTGTTGCTTAATAGTTATTATTTTCTGTTGCTTAATAATTATTGTTTTTTGTTGCTTAATAATTATTGATTTCTGTTGCTTAATAGTTATTGTTTTTTGTTGCTTAATAATTATTGTTTTCTGTTGCTTAATAATTATTATTTTCTGTTGCTTAATAAACTCAAATGTTTTCGTCTGATAATTATTGACCAAAGCAAAACTTTGCTTATTATCTTTATTTAAGTTAAATTATGTTTTTATTTAAATTATGTTTGTCTGAGTAATTTGTTAGTATTTTGATTTTAAAAAAGCTAAATTTTATAGTTTTCTTATAGTTTTCTCATATCAGCAAGGTTTTTTTTTTTTTTTTTTTTTTTTTTTTATTAAATAAAACATTTTTTTAAATACTAAATTTAATACTTTTATAAATAGTAACATAAATTTTAGATTCAATCATCAAAAGATTTTTGGCCATGGATGGAAAAGCTTTTCTTACCACAAATTTACCCTGACCCTTGGTATAATTTGAGTGCTTTTTATGGGAATTCAGAAACTAAAAATTTTCCTGGAAAACTGTTTTTAAATGATCTTAACTCAAAGATTGTGAACGGAATAAGAATTCGACAAGTTCGTGTGCTGCCAAGTATGGATTATATATTAAAAATTGTTTTGAAAGTATTTATTATCATTTTTAACTTTGTTGGTTAACAAATTAATACATGAAAAGGATAAAGTTTTATTTTTCTAATAGATTCCTGCATTAAAGCTGAATCGATTGTTGGTTATTTGGAACTTGATTGTTTGTCCCCATATAAATCTATAGTTGAAGAAAAACGAGATTTTTATTTTAACTGGTCACTTCCAATAAAATACAAATCTGCTATCAATCCATCAACAATGCCTTGGAGATATCAAACTTGGAAAGATCTTGATGGGTACCCATATGCAGCAGATTTGAATACTTATTATGGTGGGGGTTATGTCATAGAGTTTTTTCCAAAGTGGAAAAACCAATACACACTAGATAAAGCAAAAAATCATAAGTGGATTGATAGACAAACACGAGCTATAATAATTGAGTTCGCTTTGTTTAATCCTGCTACAAATTACTTTAGCATGGTCACAATGGTTTTAGAATTTCTTGCTTCTGGTGGAGTTTTGCCTGATTTCTCTGTACATACATTTAAGCTATATTCTTCAACAAAAGGAACTGGCGTTGCTATGTTGGGTTCACAAATTTTGTTTATTATAATGATGCTGTTGTTTTCTATTCGCGAATGTCGTTTTTTATATCGAACTGGTTGGAGGTACTTTCTTGAGTTTTGGAATTTAGTAGAGGTTGCTTTAATACTTTTATCCGTTGTTGCTGTTGGATTTTTCTTTTATAAAAGTATTTTTATTTTTTATTTAAATTTTATTTTAACTGATGTTTTTTATTTTTAATAAATTTTTTCCAATTAGTTAATTGTTATTAATTTTGATAATTTGATTAATAAAGATCATTTGGCCAAAGTGTTATTACAAAGAATGCCGGCTAAAAAACCACAATCATTTATCAACTTTCAATTTGCATCTTACTGGGATTTAACATATTTGTACATTGTATCACTCATTGTTTTTTTTGTAACTTTGAAGTTCATCAAGCTTTTGCGATTTAATCGTCGTGTTTCAATGCTTTCTTCAACATTAAAAGCTGCATGGTATCCTTTGTCAATGTTTGGAATTATATTCTTAATTGTTCTATGTTCAGTTATATCTTCTGCTAGCATTGTGTTTGGTATAGTTTAATAGTTTAAAATAATTTTTAATAAATTATACTTAATTAATTATATTTTTAATTGCCCCTTTGTTTAACAGGGGCAACTAAACATTTATAATTTTTTCTGACAAAATAAACAGTGGTTCATTGCTCTCCTCTTGAGGGTCTTCTAAATGGTCTAAGGAAGGGGGACGATGTGTGCCACCTGTTTTAACTCCTATATATATTGAATAGAGGGTTTAAAATAACACTAAACATATTTACATAAACTTTAACATATTTTAAGTATATTTTAATGTTGTCACTAAAAATTCAATACAAATAAATAAATTGGTAAACAGGTTTCAATTAAAAAAAAGCTTTTTTTAATTTTTCGTAACAACTACATTTTCATTTAAATTTTTTCAAATTTTCATAACAACTAGATTTATAACATAAAATTCATATCAGTATTATTATTGCTATCCTAATTTTTCCTAAAGCTTATTTACTAATGAGAATTGTTCTTTGCATGCCATTTCTAATTCTAATTACAATTTCTTTCAACTATCATTCTTTTGAAGTCAATTTTTTAAAATTTTGGGTTTAAAATTTTTAGCACATTTTATTTTTAGAAAAGTTGGATTTAATTACTATGATTGAACTATTATAATTAATTAATTAATTATTAATTAGTTTTACATTTTGAAAGAACACACTAAAAAGATTGTTTCATTCACCTTAAAAAAATATATCTTGTTGCTTATATATAGTATGACTGAAACATATCTTTTCACTCATTATGACTAAAACATTTCTTGTACCTCAGTATGACTGAAACATATCTTGTCACTCAGTGATGTGACTGAAACATTTCTTGTCACTCAGTATGACTGAAACGTTTCTTGTCACTTACATATAGTGTGACTGATTTTAAAATTTTTATTTGAGATAAGCTTTCTTAATAATAATTTATTCACTTCATAAACTAAGTAGACAGTATTTTAATAGAAAATAATACAGCATTATAATAATAACATTTGGTAACTCATATTTTTTTTACCAAAGTGGATACAGATCTTTTTATCTTAGATATGTACTAAATATTACTCTAGTAAACATCTAAGATTAAAAGAAAATTAATATTAACGATACCTTGGAAATCAGTGCATATCTATTACCACTACCATGGTATTATCTATTATTTCTGCATAATGTGGAAACTGAGTAAACTGTACTTTTTGCCTGCTTCTATGGCGACTCCTGATGTAACCAAAGCATTACTACAATTCCTTCTCTAATGCCAAACTCTCTATCTTTTAGACAGATATCAGATACATCTTTGAATATATCTAATTTATCTGAATTAAGTTTACATTAAGCTTTTCTGTCGAGTATTTATATTTACAGTGTTTTTAAGTTTATTTTGCTTGTTAGTTACAGTTGTTAAAGTTAAACTAATTTTTAATTAAATAAAATTCTATTAATAAATGAAGTGATATGAGTATATATGTTAAATTATAGATATAAATATAATGATATAAATATAAACGTAGTATATGAAATAAAATATATATATATATATATATATATATAAATTATGTATAATGTAAAAAAAAATATTTTTTAGGTATGCTGTTAGAAGGATATCAGAACTACTTTAAAACTATTGCATCAATAATTTCATTATTATTGGGAAAATTCAGTTATAGTCAATTTGAAAATGCTAACTCTGTTCTTGGTCCAGTTTTCTTTTTTGGTTTTAATGTCATGGTAAATTGGATAATTATGAACATGTTTTTATCTATTCTTAATGATGTTTTTGCAGTAGTCTGTACAAACATTGAATACCAAAATAATGATTATGAGATGGTCGATTTTGTTATGGAGCATTTTAAAGGTGTGTTTTTTTTTGTTTGTCTTTTTTTGATAGTTAAACTTTCAGTTGTTAGGGAACAGATTATTAATTTTTTTATTTCTTTTAATAATTCGTTTGTTAAACAGTATTTTAAAGATGTTTGTTTCTTGAATCTTCTGCAACATCATAGAAGTTTGAAAATAACAATAGAAAATAATGATGTAATCTCAAAAGTTTGCTATGTAGAGAAAGAAAATACCCATATGTTATATTTTATACCCATATATCATATTTATCAAGTTGACTATTGCAAGATTTAAATATTGCAAATTTGAATATAACTACAATTATCAATATTTTACTTTTGCATTCTTAAATAATTAATTTAATACCTTAAGAGAGTTCAATAATCATTACATTAGAAAATTCAATGCAAAATATTGCATAATATTGCATAATAATGAAAATCTTTGTTTTTACATTAGATAATTCAACACATATTATTGCATAATATTGTATAGTATTGCATAATAATGAAAATCTTTTAAAGTGGAATAATAGTTTTTAAGCAAAGAAATAATTTATATTTTTAAAACAAATTTACTTGTTAAACATAATTTAACTTGGATGTAACTCAGAACTTTAAAAGTTCTGAGTTACATCCAAGTTCAGGGGCGGATCTAGGGTACGTCTAGTACGTCTGTAGATGTACCCAAAAATAAAAATAAATCTAAAAAAAAAATGTTTATATATTATTTCAATATTGCGTATAAAAATAATTTTTTTTTTATACGCAATTTTAACCGTTAAGTGAATAAAATTTAAGTTTTATTACCTTTATACAAACAGTTATTCAAAAAAAAAAAAATTTCGCTTCTTGTTTAGATTAATTAAAGTTAGAGCGGTAAATAAAAAAATCTTTTTTAACTGGAGGTTAAAGTAATAATAAATAAATAATATTTAATTAGAAGAGTCAATGGACGTACCCAATATTATTTTGTTAAACGATAAAAAATGTTTTTGAAATTTTATTTTTTTTGTTATAAAAGCAAAATATCAATTTCTTTACTTATAACAATTTTTGGACGTACCCAAAGCAGTGCACCCTAAGTAAAATCTTAGTTAAAATCCATTGTTTAGCAATAATCAGGAGGTAAAATATATTTTAATAGTTACTACATATCAAAATAAAACAATGGGCGTACCTAACATTATTTTTTTCTGTGATTGAACTTTTTATTTAGTTTAGTTTTCAATATTTAAATTTTAAGTAATCGATTTTATTTATGAAAAAACACTGTCGGACGTACCTTTCTACTTTCACTCTAAAATATTTAACGTTTATTGTGATATTTAAAATGCTTCGATTATACGATATACGAAGTTTTCTTAATAAATCGTGTTTGCAACATGTCCGTGTTTATGCTGGTGATAAAATTCTTCAAGATCAGCTTAGATATTATCAACAAAAAACGCTTCTTACATATCTAAGACACCATAATATCTGGTAAAAAAAGTCCACATCTTGAGTTTGCGGTCCAGGCATGGTCTCCATTTTTAAAACAAGACATTGACAAGATTGAGAAAATCCAAAAAAGAGCAACCAAACTAGCACCTACAATTAGGAAATTATCATATGAGGCTAAGTTGAATATTATGCAATTAACGTCACTGGAAGAACGTAGACTACGTGGAGATCTGATTCAACAATATAAAATTCAGTATGGCCACGATAAAATAAATTGGGTTGCTAACGATTGTGGAAATGCATTGGAGGAGGGTCCATGTCTGCGACAACACATATTCATAATGAGGAAGCCTTTTAGCAGAAATACCTTCAGGTATCATTTTTTCCAAACTTGAGTTGTAAATGCGTGGAACAGCTTACCATCTGAAATAATAGAAGCTACTTCAATAAATAACTTCAAAAACAAACTAGACAGAGCTGGATGTTGCAGAAACTATTCGTTAAAACACAAACAAAAGAAAAAATGAGCTGTTACAGTGCAATATCTTATGTTATTGCACTTCGCAACTGTTTAAAACAGTTGTTACAGTTATACCTTATTATATTATATATATATATATCATGAATTGTGATATGGTGGTGCTAAAGCAATTGATGATCACACTAAAGATTTTTCCTCTTGTATTTTAAATCTAAATGAAAAAGCTGCATATGCTCATTGCAACAGTCATAGACTTAATTTAGTTATTTGTGCCTCATAAAAGTGCAATATGTCAAGTATCTTTTTAGCAATATGTCATGTTTTGCAATATGACAAGTATCATTTTTGGCACACTATAATGAGGTATCATAGTTTTTAAACTTGAACATATCAGGCAACAAATTTTAGCGGAGCATATTGAAAGTACCGTCCCATATTGAACATGTTGGGTGGAAAAGATTTACTTTTTTTTTGGATAGTTCTTAAGAACATAGTATTAGTTTCTACAAAAATGATTTCAGAAGTTCAATTATATCTTTTAGTGAATTTTATGAACAGATCTACTGAATTCCCATGAAGCATTTTAGTTAAATTTAAAAAGGTAGTTTCAATATTAATGTTACTGAGCTGTTAAAAGTGATAAATTTTCCTGGTTGTAAAAACATTAAAAGTTTACATGCTACTTTTCCACTACCTTCATGTGAATGTGAGTGGATATAATATTCATTTTGGTGCCTGAAATATATATGTTAAGCACCCTGGTATAGTGCCAAACAATAATAACACCAATTTGGTGTTATCATTTTTATATATAAAATGCTAAGTTGTATTTGTTATAATTGGCAAATGCTTTTGTTTTTTTATTGATTTTTTTCAGTTTTTATGTTTTAATAAGCAAGATTTATTATAATGAATGTTATAAAATTTTATTTTTTTTAAAAAATATGGCATTAAGAATGCATCTCTAAATACCTCTTTTTATAATTTAAAATTGCATATTTAATATACAATATTTTATTATAAATTGTGCTATTTTATAATATATTTGTTAAAATAGAAATATAAAATTTTGCATTGTGTAATTTATTTTATTAATGGTAATGTAAAAATATAGTTTTTAATAATAGATCTGTAAATAATGTGTAAATATATCTAATTTTATAATCTAAAAGTAAAGTGCCCCGGTGATAACCTTGCATATTTTTAATTGAAGAAAGGCTCTTATTAGATTAGCTTAATAGACCTCTTTTGATAATAGACCTTGGTTAATCTTAATAGATTAACTGAAGATGGTCTTCCATGTATTTTTTTGCTTTTCAACTAACGACTAGAGACACCAAAAAAAAAAAAGGTCCTCAATATTTCCAATATGCCAACTATAGTTTAAAACTTGCTCAATGTGCTAATTCAAATGCTTGTAAGATTCTTTAAGGGGAGGGGGTGAGGGACACCACAAATTTTCCAAAAAATCAGATGTACCCAAATAATTTCCCGGGTCCGCCCCTGAAGTTAATGATATTATTTATTTTATTAATATTATTTATTTTTTTATTTGGTTTAGAAAACTAGCGTGAAATTTTAACATAAGATATTCAAAAACAAAACTATATAAACTTTTAAACCTAGAAGAATTGCTTATCTTCTTAATAATCTTTTTTTTCTTTTTTTTAAATATTTGCTAATTTAGTTACAATAAATAAAAAAAAATAAACAAACAAGCTGTGATACACATTACAGTGTATAGAGTCTAACAATAGTAGATATCAGCTTTTCACAGCTTTCATATAATTGTCATAAAGGGTTTTGAATGTATTTAAGTTTTTCGCATCCACAACATCTTGTGGTAAATATTAAAATATTATTTAATAAAAAATAAATAATAATAACAATTATTAAATAATTATCAATTAATTATTAACAGCAAACCAACTGCCCACTGTAGGAAATATGTTGAGATAATACTTATAAAACCTGAAAAAAATTATAGATTATTAAAGCTTCACACTCCTTGCACATAGAAATTTATAAAAGTTCTTATTAAAAAATTTTTTTTACCGTTATACATCAAATTTAATAAAATACACTTGCTAAAAACACATGCTTAATTTCTACAAAAATACATGCCTAATTTCTACAATCACATTTAAAATAGTGAGGATTATTGCCAAGTAGCACTAATACATCGTATGTTATGACACCTCATGCACATTTAATGTATTAGTGCTACTTGACAATCACTATTTTAAATGTGATTGTAGAAACTAAGCATGTCCTATTGCTTTTAAATAAGTATATGTTATTAAATTATTTAGATCAACCTGACAGATGAGATAAATATTTGATCATGATTTATTACCAGGATTAGGCTCATAGACACCAGTCTCAACAGAGTTGCTATTACCACTTAAAATAAATACAATCAATACATAGAACCCTGGCTGCATAAAATATTAGTCGCATAGAACACCGGTTACATAAAACAAAGGTTGTATAGAAAACTGGTTGCATAAAACACTGGTTGCGTAGAAAAATTGTCCTTAATAGTTGTCATTTTTTTAAATTTTACAACTATTTATTGATTAAAGTTTTATTAAAACTCCAAGTTTCATATTTCAACTCACTTAATTTTATTTTTTAAAAAGTTTAATCATCACAAAATCCTGTATATTTCTTGGTATATTTCTTAGAAATTTAGTACAATTGTTTTTTATTCTTGCTTCATATATGAAATTCAGTTTCTTTTTTACATATTAGATTGGTTCGGATGGCATTCTTCCAAAGAAACGGAACTTAAGTTGGCTATTGACACAAAGGTGTTTGATGCTGATAAAAATAATCTACTACCTGTTCATTACAAAGAAAAGTCAAATTATAGAAAAAATAAAGTAAAAGTTAACTTCAACAAAGGTAAACAGTCATTGAAAAAAAGGTTAAACCCAAACAATTATTAATGATAAATTAAAATTAATTTTTAAACAAAGTTTATGCGCATAAAACTATTGTTTCAAACATTTTTTTTTGTTTAAAACAGCTTTGTTTACAAGTATGGCATGTGGCCTCTATACGGCAATTAACCAGAGGATGACAAAACGAAATACCTCTAATTTTTTCTAAGCCTTTATTATTATGCATACATACAAATATATATACATATATTTATATGTACACATATACATATATACATAAATATATATATATATATATATATATATATATATATGTGTGTGTGTGTGTGTGTGTGTGTGTGTGTGTATGTATATACACATATATATGTATGTATATACACATATACATGTGTATATATACACACAAACATATATATATATATATATATATATATATATATATATATATATATATATATATATATATATATATATGTATATATATATATATATATATATATATATATATATATATATATATATATATATATATATATATATATATATATATATATATATATGTATATGTATATATATATATTTATATATATATATATATATATATATATATATATATATATATATATATATATATATATATATATATATATATATATATATATATATATATATATATATATATATATATATATATTAGGGTGTTCCAAAAAAATGACTTTTTTGAATTTCAACTAACATTGCTTTTCATAAGGTGCCCCAACCTTGATATTACTAATAAATTTTTTTTTTTTTTTTCATGATTAGATCACTCCATGACTTCCCTCAATGAGCCCAAAGGTCATTTTTTGCCCGTTTTTTGCCCATATTTCGGACAAGCTGAGGGGAGTGTTACCATTATCCAAATTAATTTTTCTTTCTTTTTTTTTGTTGTTTTATATTTTTGAAGGAAATAAAAATATAATGTTAAGCTTAATTTTTTTTTTTTTTACTTTAACAATGAAGACCAAAAAATTAAAAAAAAGGCATTTTTAAGCTTTTTTGCACTATATTAGTGTTTAACAAGATACTTTATGTATTAAAATATTTATATTTACATAATAAAATCATATTTATGATTAGTTTCTGAAGAAATTAGTTGTCAAACATAGTTCATGTTTATAAATTTATTTTGTAAACAAAGAATTCTTTACATAATCACATTTTTTTTTAATTGTTCTTTCACTCTTATATTTGTTTGATATGAGGAAGGTACTTTGTCTTTTATCCTCATTATGCGATTTATTGATCAACTCCTATTAAAGAATATTTAAAAGTAATGAGCTTGTAAAACAAATTAAGATTTTAACATAAACATTAAGGACCAAACATATAAAATATTTACCTGAACTAGTTTTATAGCCCTCTCACTACAGTCATTTACTACTTCAAGATTATTCACAAATTGTTTGAATTCTAAGTAATAGTCATTTAGATCCCATGTCTCAGATGGAGTCTTAAGCCACTGTACTTCAGCATTTGCATGGTTTAAGATATGAAAAATTAACCAACTCTGGTCAGTTTTAAGCGGGGTCAAACTTGGGGGAGTATCATCATTAAACATAAGGGAGTTCAGTATATTTAAATTAACTTGATGTCTTTCTATGGCATAAGTTGTAGGTCTTGGGGTTGAGTACAACTTCTTGGCAATGTCACTCCATTCTTGTACATTTTTGTCAACAAGAGACATAACTAAAATATTTGGGTCTATGTATCAGGTGTGTCTCTTTAGAGACTCTATAACAGGTTTTGCCTGGACAGGATTGATTTTTGAGTATCTCATCATCTGCCAAAGAGCTTTCATATCCTAAAGATTTTTAGACTATGAAATATTACACAAAATTTTCAAAGAAAAAAAAGTAATAAAAAGCAAAATGATTAAAAACTTTTAAAACATAGAAATGTCACCTGATATGGAGCGACAGCCGGAATTTCAGCCTTTATAAACCACTCAGTGTAAAATACAGCTGTGAAGAATGCCATATCATTTATTTCTTTCTTCTCAAAATCTGTCAAGCTAGAAATGTTGTTTAGAAGGAGATACATTTTCAGAAAGTATATTCCCTTTGCCATAAATCTGGCATGGTGTACAGGCCCAGGTTTTCTTAGCCTGTACTGTTCATCACCAGATAAAACCATTGTTGTCAATTCCACTAACTCTAGATAATCAGACCTACATCCATCCTAAATAAGATTATTTTTTTTTTTTTTTTTTTTTTTTTTTTTTAATTTTAATTCACCTCCTCAAGGCCGAGAATACCACTACAGACGAGGAGGCTACTTATTTGTGGCTATAACCCTCTCTCAACTCTATAACTCCGAAACAGGAACCTTGACGAACAAGGCCACTGCGCGGAGAAACGAGTTGAGCGGGGTACTACCAGGGACATGGTGGGGATCGAACTCGGAAAAACTCGTTTATGAAGCGAGCGCTCTACCACTACACCACTACCGCATTACATTTAGACACAAAACAGTACCTTACTAAACTTATTTTATTATAGAGTATGCACTTTATTCAAAATTTTAAATACCTTTTTCATTGTTTTCATTCTGATAATATTTTGAGAAAAAGATAAGGCTTCTTTGAACTGTACCTGCAGCCAGCTATCAGAAATATCTTCAATTTTTACTTTGTTT